ACTACTACTACTACTACTACTACTACTACTACTACTACTACTTACTACTACTTCTACTACTACTACTACCACTACTCCTACTACTGCTACCACTACTACTACTACTACTACTACTAAAACCAAAACTAAAACTAAAATTATAGGACCGGATAACCCCACATGGGAACAACTTCGAAAGATTGAAGCTGCAGACACAAAGTGCTGAAGAGTGAGCATGGGGAAGAGACAGGCGAGACAAATAGAATGCGTAAGGGTCGGTGTGTGTAGGTGAGGTGCGCGTTTGATTGTAGGTGCTTGTCCGTGAGTGTGTATGAGTGTGTGGGTGGATGTATGCTGTATGACGCTTGTGTGCATGTAGGTGTTTGTAAGGTGTGTGTTTGTGTGTATGTGTCTGTTCATCAGGGTGTATCTGTGTGTATCCGTTTGTGTGTATCTCGTCAGAGAGTCGGTCGTCGGAGACGAACTGGTCCAAGTGTCCTGAGCAGGAAGATGCATACTGGTCATATCGATTCATATGGTTGACTCATACGGTTGACTCTACGTAGCTTTGAGCTCCAGCGAACGAGCGCAGGCAACGACCTCGGAGGCGACTAGAGAAGACAAGATCCCAAATGCACCGAAAGACACCAGGTGTGTACAGACCACGAAAATTATCTGCAGGCGGAAGCATGTTTTCTTGCAACACGCACTTATCCCACGGTCATCTAGTGACGGCCATCACGCTGTTGAAAAAACCATGTCTGAAATCGGCAAGTCGCATCAATGAGACAGAAGCAAAATTATACACAGATTCCAAAGTTTCCAAAGTTTCATCTCTTCATTCTGTAGCGATGGCCGTGGCACCTTCCATAGACGCATCTGAAAGCTGCAAGTCGCATCAATCAGAAAGAAGGCGTGAGCACATCCATATCATCCAACAGTAACAGGTCACGCCAATCGAAGACATACATTTCAAACATGCTTGGGATCATATCACCAAAACGAAGGATGCGCGCTCACGGTCTACCT